ACCATGGTTAAAACAGTTCTAAAATCCCAGTAACCATGGTTACCGGGAAAATAGTTCAGTCTCCATGGTTACCCCATAGGTTTACATGTTAAAAAATGGTTTGCGAGATCGAGGATACCGTACATGTGCGAAGAATTGGTCGGTATTTTCATACAAGACAAGACAATTCCAAACAAGAAAAAAATGGCTAAAGAAACTGTCCCAAGATTTCAACTTATCAAATGCAAGACTCGCTGACAGCAAGAACAACAAAAAAGGTACGTGAAATTATCCATAAACATGTTCGTTTAGTTGCTGAAAATGGAGTACCAGCATAGACGTAGACGAAAATAGATCTAGTTGTCAGGGTGTCTGATCGCGCACCCGATGTTGTGTGCTATATTCTTCCCATAGAGATTACACGCAATGCAGTCTCTATTAGTGCTGTAGTCAAACGTTTAACCGTCCGGTATCCGACCGCCCATGGCGGATTCCGTTTTCAATTGGACGGTTTCGTTTTCCCGTTTTTTTTTTTTTTTTTTTTTTTTTTTTTAATAATTTTTTTTTTTTTTTTAAATAGGGGATCTATTTTTTTTTTTTTTTTTTTTAAGTTTCGATTTATGCCCCTTTAGCTGGCACTATGCCTGGCAATGTCTCCCAGCTCAGTAATCGGTGTGATGACTTACCACTTGGAAACTAGAACAACACTCCGTCATCTTGGTTTGAAAGTAATCTTTGTAATAGATCTCAATATATATTCATCCAAGTTTAACACATGGTGTACCACAAGGTTCTATCCTAGGTCCTCTACTGTTTTTAATTTACTTTAATGGTCTTACACATTATTCTAAAACGACATTGTTAATATTATTTGTGACTAGTTTACAAGCACAAATCGGCGCCTTCAGTTAAATCACCTTCCTGATTTTTTCACACGGCCAAAAAAAAAAAAAAAAAAAAAAACGATTTTTTTTTTTTTTTTTTTTTTTTTTTTTTTTTTTTTTAAATAAATCGTTTAACCGAAAACCGTCCGGTTTTGACAGGCGGTTAAACGGAATTGGAGATATCCGTGATGTTACAGCACTAGTCTCTATGCAGTCTACGTGCATTGCGCGACCATGCAAAAAAAAGTCAAGTTTTTTTTTTCAATTCGAGATTCAAACCTTTATCTGTTGTGATCCTGAAGGTGATACTCAATAAGTGAGGTGTCATATGAAAGCGCAGGTTCTTCTCTCTCTTCCCCACAGGGCCGGCCCACCCCCAAAATTGTAAAAATATCTTGCTTAGACTAGAATCTAGATCTAAGTCTACTCTCAAAGATACACTCATAAAAAACAACCGTGCAGATAAACTAGAGAAAGGCCAAGGTGGTGTCATTAGTTGACTCTTTTGTTTTCGGCATATAAAAGTATTAATGACTGCTTTAATATTCGAGAAATAGTTGTTTTTATATGCTCTCGGGAAGGTTACAATTACATGTAGGCTATTGCCCTCGGCACGCCTCGGGGCAATAGCACAATTGTAACCTTCCCTTGAGCGTATAAAAACAACTATTTCTCTCAAAGCAGTCATTAATACTATACTATTGAATACATACTTAAGCTACAAACTATTCTACATCTAGGGTAAATATTTTCTGTGCTTATATACAAAGCTTTGGTATTTTACACTAAATAAAAGATGAAGAATTATATAACATAATATTTACAAAAAGGCAAGAGCCTTGGTTCTAAGTTATAAACAACTATTCTATTAACATTTGTGATAGAAGAGTTCTACGAAAGCAAGACACTGCTGCTTTCTTCCGTACAGAAAGGGGTAGATCATTCCAATAGCTTGTGCCTCTGAATGACATTGAGAAGAGAGATTTGTAGAGATTTATACAAAAATTCTTCTTTTATGGCATCTCTGATCAAGGGCAGGTTATTTTTAAAACCTACTAATGAAGACAAACTTTTGAAAATATATTATTCTCATTTAAAATTGGGAAATCGTGTGGATGGGATTAAGTCCTGACATTGCCAAGTAATTATTGTCCGGCACATTGTAAAACCTCTAACTGTTATGTAATCTCTCTTTTCAAATTGGGATAGTACCTTCGCAATTAAATCGTAAATGTTGATCTGTAAATCACCTGGATTTCCAGAATCTGAATCCCCTAGAAAATCATTGATGAATCATATTTAATGTGTACTATGCAAGCAATATACATACTGTACAGTGTCCATATACACTTACATGTACATACAGTACAGTACATACTGCAAGCATAAACCATATTTTATATACCTGGTACACACATTGATTTGTACAAAGAGTGATCAATAAACACTTCATTTACATTACATACATGTACACTGTAGTACATACATGTACATGTACATGTACATGTATACATGTAGCACATAAAGCTACAGATTTTAAAGATGACTGCCAGTGAAAAGACTAATCTCATCAATTGAAAAGACCTTCAATTCTGGACATGAAATAAGTCTTCAAGATTGTAATAACACAATGGTAGGCCAACTTAAACATTCTTAAAGCATACATGCCAACATTTGAAAATCAGAAATCTGTACAAATTATGCTATTTAAAAAAAAAAGAGGAACAATCCTAACTCTCCTATTCAATACTACAGACAAATTTGTACAGGAAGAGGAACACCTGCATTAAAATGATAATACACCAGTTTACAGTTGTATCAGTGCGCATGCGCAGACAGTTGACCTCGGGTCATTGGCCCCGGAAGCGGGGCCAATAACGTTTGCGCAGTGGTATTTATGCGTAAATTAAGATTGCGCCCATGCAAATGATGATGTGCGCGCACAACGCAGCGCGTAGGCAGTGATGTCATCATAATTTGCATGGGCGCAATCTTAATTTAGGCATAAATACATGACCTCTAGGTCATTGGCTTTGTTTAAAATGGCGCACACAACCGTAAACTGGTGTATTATCTTCTCCCAAAAAGAGGAATGTTCCTCTTTAATCTGAACAGTTGGCATGTATGTTAAAGTACATGTAAAACAAAATATAATCAAATTAGAACTACTAGAAGAAAAAAAAATTCTCCATTTGCTATGGAAACATTTGGAAAATGTGCATAATTTATCATCGAGGTATTAAAAAGAATGAAAAATATTCCTACAACTACAAGTGACTACATGTACAGTGTACATTTAACACTAATTTATGAAAGTGGGCAAAACTGCAATGTCCGTAATGCAGAAAATGCAATGTACATGTACATTGTACAAGTATGTATGTAATGCCACATTGAAGATTCTGGAGATCACATGTTGCATCTGTTTCACCAAATTTAACAATGTCCGTCACATTTGTAGCAATAACTACCATATGATTTGAAGAAAAAAAAACATTTGAATTTGTCACTGTTTACATACTGTATTGGGTAATTCATCTGTGGTTCCAATATACTGTACATTGTATGAGTTCAAAATAAACAAATTGTGTTTTTATAAATGACGTCTTGAAGTTGCAAAAAATTCTCTGAATTATAATGTCTGTATTGATCACTAGAACTGCTACCTATTTTCATAGTATAATGTAGAATATCAATGTTTGTTTGTTACATTGAAAAGTTAAAAGTACACAGCTCACGGTCATACATGGAGGTAAATGTACCGTACATGCACTGATTGGAATGCCAACTTCTAATGCACTTTCCAATCTGAAGATGAGGTCTGAGAGAAAACCAACCAAAAAGCCACTTGGATGGAATTTAATGCTCTCATTAGCATCTTTCAAATAAAATCTAGGCCTTCTATGTCAAAGATGATATAACAGATAGTGTAAATATTTGGTTACAGAGAAATTAAAGATATGCGTAATTCACAAATGGCACCAGAAGATGTCACATTATACAAATGACCTTAAAAAAAATTGTGTGTCCAGTCCTGAATAGGGTCTACTGTTGTGCCAACTTTGAAGGAACATGCAATTGCCATTCTTGAGATATATATCTGTTCCACAAGAAATGTTACGGAGAAAACAACACAAAAAACAAAAAATCCTAACGAATAGAAGAGGTAGTAGGGTGCTTTAGTAACGAGACGGAAGGCAAAGAGGACGGGAGAAATCACTCAACCGAGATCAAATAATGTATGCAGTTAAGATTCTGTCTATTGAAATACTATTATTCGTATCAGGTGAATGAAATAATTTGTATTGAGGCACTTCACAGAGACGTATGCATTTAATTTGGTTACATTACGAAAATCGTCTATTGTACGGCGATACGACTCTTCCATCGAGTTTAGGGAACGAACGCTATTATGGCTGAGACAGGTCGTGAAAATCAACAAGACGGAGAAAATTCTAATTCGCACATGCGCAGATTGATTATTTTGCTCGGTTACCCTCGTCTTTGCCTTCCGTCATTTTCGTAATGTAACCAAATTTAATGCATAAGTCTTTGTGAAGTGCCTCAATACAAATTATTTCATTCACCTGATAAGAATAATAGTATTTCAATAGACAGAATCCGAACTGCATACATTATTTGATCTCGGTTGAGTGAATTCTCCCGTCCTCTTTGCCTTCCGTCTCGTTACTAAAGCACCCTAGTATACATTGTACATGTTCAATAGTCCATACCACCTACATGTACATGTAATAATAATACAGAGTTGCAGACAAAGTAACTGAATGACCAGAGGGGTGTTTCACAAAGACCCTAAGTTGAACTTATCTCTAAGTTGGACTTAACAATTATGGAAAGCCGTTAGCATCTTTGAAAATATTTTGTAAAAGTTATTTTGAAAGGCATAAAATGTTGATTCAAATCAATCATATTTTCTATTATCAAGTGAGATTTCATGTTCCTGATGTGGAATTTATGAAAACTCTAAAATACTTGAATTTTTGCTTTTGAATGTATTTTTTTTTAAGGGCTACAAATGGCTCTCCATAATTTTTAAGTCCAACTTAGAGTTAAGTTTGACTTAGAATCTTTGTGAAACACCCCCCTGAACATGCAATATGATGCCCTTGTTCTTACCTCACTGTTGTGCCCACGGAGATTGAAATTTCTTCTGGCAGGGGCTTGAGGACTCTTTCCACAGTGGCTGGTTGTGTACGTTGCTCCAACCACCCCTTTCACGTTGCCTGTTGCAAGCCATCCTTTTGTGTAGTGTCGCTTGCGAGTATAGCTCTTATCCTTCTCGCTTTCAGGGACTGTTCCTTTCCACGACAGCGACAGAATAGTACAGTCACTGCGCGCTGCCGGGTTCTGTTCTAGTACTGCATACATGATTACGTGACTGAGATCCGGCTTTTTGTCAAACCGGACTCAGAATATCAAATGAATATCTAGCGAAGTCACCTCCTCAAATGATATTAAATGTGAAAGTATTCCAATCTACTGGTATCCTGAAGTACATTTTCTCTTGTGTTCAGGTATGAATGTACATGTAGATGCTTTTACAATGAGATAATAAGATAGAAACCCCTAAAACTGTAGAGTACATCCTGCATATTTATGACTTGCATCGTTCTTAATTCTATAGTGTCCCAGGAAAGTTGCATGCATGGCTCATGAACAGTAAATATGTGATGGCTAGCAGACACAAACACTGGTCATGATCTATGGCAGTAATTAGAAGAGAAAGGACATGAGATACCCAAGCTGTGATGTTTGCCACCTGCGTAGCTAGCCCAGCCAGGAATAACTCAATGCCGCTCCATTTCAACTCCTCTCCCAAGTGCACTCCAATAGAATCATTAGTTATGCGATGCACAGCCACACTCTTAGGCATTGGTCATATGGCATTTTCACTTGATGCTCTCTCTGACGACATCCGCAAGTGGAACGTGACTCGGATTTATCCCCTGCATCTCCACTGCACAATAACAGCATCACCACCCCAAAACTCCTCCTGCAATTTGGAAAAGGTCAGCTCATACTCCAAAAAATGGTTGGATATTCCGTCTAGATTTTTTTATTAAAAACCGCGAAAATATGTCCTCTTGATATGAATATTTGACACGTATGAAACATGAAACACCGATCTACGGAACACGACTTTGGGATGTGCTTATTTTTCTTCCTGTGGAATTATCAAGTTGATTAGAGGTTGATGAATGTGCAGATCATACTGTAGTTCAGGTCTACTCATGTACATGTGTGTACCTCTAACATCTACCGACACGGGAAGACTTTCACACGTAACGGGGATTCGCTTATCGTAACTCTGGATCAATAGCTGATTAGACTTTGCGAGATGTACTCCAGATCTAGAGATTTATCCCCCACAAACGTCACTGCATGCGTATCTCCGTCGTCTCCTGTGTCTCGTTAGCTTCACTACTGCACGCACCCGTCAAGTCGGCTAGCCGGCAACCTACCGCAAGTGTATCCAGGCTGACTCATGCAATCTAAGGACTCTTCCACTACCATACGGGGTAGGCAGTGTGCCTTGTGCTGCATGAGGAGGGGGGTGAGTCACTAGACATTACACATGCCAACAAGGCTCAGCTACCTGCAGAAGAAGTGAGGAAAAGGAGACAATTTATGTAATTATATTTCAGACATTTCCACTCAAGGTAATCAGCTACATGTATGCTGGTAGTACATGTATTCTAAAAATTCAGCAAACTGCACATGTGCATTCTATACATACAAGAACCCACTATCATCTGAACCCAGCTAGTAAATTTGTTTCAACTCTACCTCCTACAAACAAAACTCGATGGCAATCATTACTATTTTTTGCTATTGGTCTTGAAACTGTTGATTGAATGATAAAAGTGGTTTCAAATCTCAAGAGAAGTACATATTTGCTCTCATTTCTGTGTTTCATAACTCAAACAGGATTACCTTTATAATCGTCAACTTTAATACACTGAGAAGATATATTCAAAACACAAAATTCACAAAATTTGTGAAAATCATTTATATATATATATATATATATAACATGTACAAAATGTATAAATGTATGTATGTACATGCCAATGAACATTTTCAGAATATTAGGATAATAAATTGACATTGGAGATGACTAACTAAAAATAAGTATTTGTATAAGTACTGCCACAAGCTGAAAGCAAGAACAGACCATGCATGTGTATGACCTTGCATGGTACACACGCAGTATTAACATTGTTCAAATAAGTACATTTTATAAATCATAATTACACTATCACTTTCACATACTGTATATGATTCTCATGTTTATGTAGGATTTCTGGAGGATGCTGCCATACATACACATGTATCTGTTCGCAATTACCATGACCACAACATACGAGTGCACTTGACTTATTACAGTACATACATGTAGATGCAATACCAAATTAGTTTCCACTTTTCCAATGATGAATTAGTTTTACATACATGTACATGTATAATGTGTACCATAAAAGCCTCCTTGAGGGCAGCCGAGAGTGTGTATTTAGCTAGAAGCTATACCATTACCGGTATGTTACTTTTCAATCATGTACAGTACAGTATGTATGTGTATACTGTAAGAGCTTTTTGACAAGAATTCTGCATAACACATGTAAAACATATTTTAAAAGGTATGTTTACATTTTTTTGGGCAATATATACAAACTCTCTGCATGAAAATACAGAGAGGCCCTGGCTTTATGATAGTACATCAGTCATACCATAAAGACAAAATGTTTTAATTTTGGGAACAGGATCCATCCTGTTCCCAAAATAGTATCCACTATAGAAGTTCCATTCAAACAATCTTGAAGAGAAATGGTAGCGTACATACTGTACGGGCAAGATCTCCCTTCATGTACAATGTACATACATGTACTCTACATTCTCAACAAGCACACTTTCCGACCTTATGCATAACCTGGTCCGTATTTGTATCGACATGAAAAGAGAGCAATGGAAATAACTATTGATTCTCTTGCAGCAAATGACGACTCAGATATGCGCAGACATACATCCGCCCAGGCTCTACTTTTCACGGCCAAGCTGTCGCCACGACAACATCGGGGTCTTCCAAGAAAATGAGGTGAAAGAGGAAAAGGAGAAGGAAGGGGAGAAGGAAGGGGAGAAGGAAGGGGAGGAGGGGGAGAAGGAGGGGAGAAGGAGGATAGAAGGGATGAGGGGAGAAGGGATGGGGGAGAAGGGAGGGGAGGAGAGGGAGGGGAGGAGAGGGAGGGGAGGAGAGGGAGGGGAGAAGGGAGGGGACGGGAGGAGAGGAAGGGGAGAAGGGGGAGAAGGAGGGGAGAAGGAGGATAGAAGGGATGAGGGGAGAAGGGATGGGGGGAGAAGGGAGGGGAGGAGAGGGAGGGGAGAATGGAGGGGACGGAAGGAGAGGAAGGGGAGAAGGGAAGAGAGGAGAGGAAGGGGAAAAGGGAGGGGACGGGAGGAGAGGAAGGGGAGAAGGGAAGGGAGGAGAGGAAGGGGAGAAGGGAGGAGAGGGGAGAAGGGAGGAGAGGAGAGGTGAGAAGGGAGGAGAGGGGAGAAGGAAGGAGAGGAGAGGTGAGAAGGGAGGAGAGGGGAGGAGGAAGGAGAGGAAGGAGAGAAGGGAGGAGAGGGGAGAAGGGAGGAGAGGAGAGGGGAGAAGGGAGGAGAGGAAGGGGAGGAGAGGAAGGGGAGGAGAGGAAGGGGAGGAGAGGAAGGGGAGGAGAGGAAGGGAAGAAGTGACGGGAGGAGAAGAAAGGGAGGAGAGGAAGGTGAGAAGAGAGTGGAGGAGAGGAAGGGGAGGAGAGGAAGGGGAGGAAGGGGAGAAGAGGAAGGTGAGAAGAGAGGGGAGGAGAGGAAGGGGAGGAAGGGGAGAAGAGGAAGGTGAGAAGAGAGTGGAGGAGAGGAAGGGGAGGAGAGGAAGGGGAGGAAGGGGAGAAGAGGAAGGTGAGAAGAGAGGGGAGGAGAGGAAGGGGAGGAGAGGAAGGGGAGGAAGGGGAGGAAGGGGAGAAGAGGAAGGGGAGAAGAGAGGGGAGGAGAGGAAGGGGAGGAAGGGGAGAAGAGGAAGGTGAGAAGAGAGGGGAGGAGAGGAAGGGGAGGAGAGGAAAGAGGAGAGGAAGGGGAGAAGGGACGGAAGGAGAGGAAAAGGAGATGGGATGGGAGGAGAGGAAGGGGAGGAAGGGAAGGGGAGGATGGATGGAAGGTGAGGAAAAGGATAAGGGAGGGGAAGGGTAGGAGATGAAGGGGAGAAGGGATGGGGTAAGGGGTTAAGCATTGAGGATTTCTCGTTGTCTCGTTTTGATGTTCTGTGGTTTCAACAATGTAGGTCAACAACTTGTGCTCATGCAACGTGATGGCCAGAAAATTCCCTCGGTGCCTTGACGGATATCGTGTGATTGTAAACAGAGTAGACTGTGCCAGGATTGATCCTGTTCATTGTAAACATCATGGATGCTCTTTATTATTCAATAACAACACAGACAGTGTTCACACTTCATGTAGTTTGAACGCACAAACCCATATAAAATGTTACAGGCCTGAAATGAGAGACTATTGAGAATGTACCACTGTTTTTATCAGTATTTGAGACAGCTAGAGACTAGTTTGCATGCAATACCCTTTCAGTATTTGTTTCTTACGGAGTGTCTGAACATTTTTCTGCTTTCATTCAAATGAACTTATAACAAAGGTTGGATTGCCCTTTAAGCATCACAATCAAGTCTGTACCTGCATGAAGAATGCACACAATACACTTTCTTTTCATAAACCTGGTTAATCTTTATATAACCTCTTGTTTTGAATTGATACACTGACATCCAAAATTACATTTAAAAACACATATTCTGATTTCTGAGAAAAACATTTAACTAATCAATTAATCTATCTGGTGTACCAATGGTATGCCTGACATATCAACACCTACATGTAGGACACAGAATAACATCTAACATGACCCCTAAAGTTCAAAAGAATACTAGATCTACAGTACATGAGCACCGAAAGGTGGACCTGTGTGCTATACAAGTAGCCACTATTATTATTATTATTATTGCATGAGTGTGAGTAATTAAACACATTTTAAAAGTTGGTTTCATGCTTAATTGAATTATTCTACATGTACATCAGTGTCCGACCATCATCTGACCAGAAGTCAAGCATCAGAAACTCAACTAGCTAGTCTATCAAATCAAGTCCCTGAATTTCTGCCACTTACATGTACTTCCTAAACCCATAAGAAATACAGTCTACTTTTAGTCACATACATGTATTTGCATTATCTTTTCATTCAGAATCCTAGGAATTACACATTACATAAAGCATAATTATTATTACATTACCTTATTAAATTACATACATGTAAAGAGCAAAAAATCACAGAAAATCTTGAGTCTATTTCCAATGCAGTTTGTTGTGCCATTCTTAAGACAGATTTAATTCATTGTAACTTATAATTAAAGTCTCTGGATGGTGTGTGCGCTCTATAGGTTAACACTATTATTATCAAATTGGCAACATGGTGTAAAATATAAAATCATTATTTTTATGTACAAATTTTAATTGGTGATTTTTTACTTTTAGTTCTTT